TAAATTAAAGAGCTTCTGCACAGCAAGAGAAACTATCAACAGAATAAACAGGCAACCTGCAAAATGAGAGAAAATATTAGTAAAATATGCATCTGGCAAAGATCCGGCCACAGAACTCCCTATTCTTATATCAGACAAAATAGACTTTAAAAAAAAAAAAAAAAAAAAAAAATTGTAAATAACTTAAGGACTGAAAGCAGAACAGATATAAAGAAGCAGTGGTTACTAATTTAAAGATGCATGCATTTTACATGAGTATCATCTTTATTCTTTAAACAACTGCAGTTTTGTCAGAATTCTTCAATTTTCATGGAACATGTTCTATGTCTACTTAAGAAGGAACTGTTCATATTATAGGGATATCTACATTAATTTTTTCCCTAGGGCAAATAACTTCTTTTTAAAAAATTAATTTATTTTTGTTGCACATATTAGATGTACATATTTTCAGGGTACATTTGATAATTTGATACATTCACGTAATCAAATCAGGGTAATTGGGATGTCTGTCTTAAATGTTTATCTTTTCTTTATGCTTGGGACACTGGAATTATTGTCTTCTAGCTATTTTGAAATGTACAATTGATTAATGTTAACTACAGCCATCCTATAGAACACCAGGTCTTATTTCTTTTATCTAACTATTTGTATACAGCATTACTTTGACAAAATCTGTTTATCAAAGGAAGAAAAAGGTTTAATGGTCTCAGTAATCATTTTGCCTCAAAAAATTCTTAAGAAATAAATTAAGGAATTATGTCACATCAAAGTAATTAGCTTCATCATTTTTATAATATTCAAAATATTCTTAGTTAACCCCCCACCCCTTCCCCCCACACACATACACACTGATGACTAGGGGTGGCCTTTGCTCTGGATTGCTTATAATATCCTTCTGTAATTTGTGTTAACAGTCTTTCTCAAACCTTGGCTGTTCATTTAGCATTTGCATGTCCACTGAATAATTACTGTTATGGAGGGAAAAGTCTGTGGTTTACTCTTTTACTAAGAAACCTTTAATAATAAAAGAAGAGTCCAAGTCACAGACTGATTACTTTATTGCCTTATTTTTAAAAGTCTTACTTTAAAAAAAATACCTAATTGTGGTTGAAATTCTACTAAAAAGTATTTGTGTATTCTTAAATGGTTTCTTCAGTAGTTAAAGATTTTAACAACTCTATTAGGATTCATTAGATACTTCTGTTATTTTTGTGGCTTATAAACCTGTACAGAGCTTGGTTTGGACCAACTGCATTAGCCACAATCACTTATGTAAATCTCTTTTCTGAGTTCTTTCTTTTCTTAAAGATTTCTCTTAAAATTGCTTTATCACTGTAAAAGTCACCTCGTAGTAAAAATTCATAAATTTACCAAGTAACTGTTTGTTTTGTATTTTAAGAGTAAACTTTTTATTGAAGTATAATATGCTTCCAGAAAACTGCACCAGTCTGTAAGTGAAAGCTTGATGAATTTTTACCAAGTGAGCATGCTTGTAAAATCAGAGCCCAGATCAGGAAACAGAACATTCCTGGCATCCTGGAAGCCTTCTCTGTGCCTCCCCCTAGCCACTGGCCCCATACACACGTCCAGGGATAGCCTCTATCCTGTGTAACAGAGTAGAGTAGTTTTGCCTGTTTTGAACTTGATACAAATTGAGTCATACAGTATGTCTTCTTTTGTCTGACATCTTTTGCTCAACATTATTTTTTAGTGATTTATTCAAACTGTTGTGAATAGTTGCAGATTTTTCACTCTTGGTGATAGATAGTATTACACAGAATAAACCACAATACATTTATCTATTTTACTGTTCATAGACATTTAGATAGTTTAGAGTTTTGGACCCATAAAATGTGAATATTTAGGGTTGTTGTTTTGGGGTTTTTTTGTTTGTTTTTTGTTTTTTTTGTATACACACGTATGCATTTCTGTTGGGTGTGTACCTAGGAGTGAAGTTGCTAGAATACATATATTCTGCCTTATTGGTAAACACCAAATAATTTTCCAAAGTAGTTGTGCTAGTTTACACATAGCATGTGATTTTACTGCACACTTCCTACGTTTATTACATTTTGGCTACTAGAAATTAATTATCTCAGTGATAGCAGCTTAATTTTTAAATGAATAACAGAGCTGCCGTAAGGATTTTCCTATACTGCATTTTTTGCTAGGAAGAGGACATAGTCAAGTGGTTGCCCTGACAACTGTAATTCTTGGTACTTTGTAGCCATTTACAAAGGGTACCTGACCACAAGGCCTCTTGCCATGTCAGCAAACCAAAGCTAGTCATCTAAAAGTGAATTTACTTTACAGAAATATATTTAACCCAATGGTGTTTTCTTAGTTTTTCAAGTATTACCTTGATTCTTATAGAAATCAGTGTTTGGAGTTTATGGTCTTGAAGTTATGATTAAAAAGGGAAATCTGGTACAATCATTACCTCATTTATGCATTTTAGCATATTCAAGATGATTTGTGTTTGCATGGCTTGTATGTGTACAAAAGCTCAAATGAGTAGATAGATCTTCAGTCAACTGCAGTTTGTAAACTACCAGTGAACTTGCAGGAAACTAATCTTGTCAAAATAAGAATAATTTTAAAATTGTATTAAGTTAGCCCTTACAATTCATGGTGTCATGAGTTATACTAATTTAAACTCATGTCGTGCACTAATGGTCTCTGCTTGTTATGCTCATTCCACCCTCCACCATGGTTGGCCTGTCCCACCACTACCCTTCATGCCCTGATTAGTTCCTTCTACCTGTGCCACCTTTGGTGGACAGGAGGGGGACTTAGGTGTGTGCAGTCACACAGAATGTGAATAAGTACTTTTTAACTTTTACTTTCCTTTTGCCTTGAGAACATATTTCTTGGCATTGATATGAAAGGAGCAAAATAAATTTGCTAATAGTAAGAATATATTTAAGAATGGTCATTCCATTTCCAACTAGGACCAAGCAGGAGTCCTGGCTGTCAAGTGCAACAGTAGTTTGACAGATTGTCAGGGGACACGAGGTGGGTAGCATCCATGGTGCACATGGCCTCTGTTTTCACAGGTTCTGCACTGCTGTGTGTGTGGCTCAAGCACATACACCCAACAGAGTCACTACACACTGACCCTGGCTGACTTGTCATCCACGGATTATGACCCCTTCCTGCCACTGGCAAATGTGAAGAGCTCTGAGCCAGTCCAGTATCATTCATCAGCGGAACTGGGTAACCTGCTGACTGTTGAAGAGGGTGAGTGAGTATTCTTTCAAGTATGAAACCTTGTGAGAAGGAAAAGGAAGGATTTAGCCTTTTGCCATGCTTGCTGTAGTATTTTTTTTTTTTTTTAACTGGTTGTTGAAGTTGAAATCCTAGTTTCTGGAGTCCTCTGTGATGGCAAATTCTGCCTTCCTTGTTTCTTCTTTTTTTCTATTTTTTTTTTTCTGCTGTTTTCCCATTTTAGTAGTTCAAATGGTTTTTGTATTATTCAAGACAGGTATGTCTTAGATCCTTGGAACTCACAAAAAAGGCTCATTTTCTATCCTCAAGGAGCTTTACATCTAATGGAAAACACACAGTGAAGTCCAGAAGGACTCATTGTGGACTGGGAGCACCATGAGGGCTTTCCATGAAGAAGGACTTAAGCCAGACTTAGCAGGGTGGACAGGTGTTGAAAGGAGCTCGTAGATTGTTCCAAGTTAGAAGAGCATCATAAAAAGAGATGAAAATGTACTTGCTACAGTTTTAGATTTGCTCTGCTCATAGCAGAGAGTCCATTTTAGAGTATATAGGGACTGTCAGGACTTAGAGCCTGCTGTATTTCTTACGTAAGCACCCCTCTCCCCAGAATGATAAGAGCCCAGCTTTGGGCCTTGGAATGGGAGTCAGAATGTGGGTATATTGTCTATACATATGATAAAATTGCATAGAACCAAACACACACACACACACACACACACACAAATGCATGCATGTAAAACTGGTGAACACTGAATAATATAGATGGATTATTATCGATGTCAATTTCCTGACTGTGATGTTGTCCTATAGATATGCAAGATGTTACTCTGAGATGAAGGGTATTTGAGGTCTCTCTGTATTATTGCTTACAACTGCATGTGAATCTGCAGGTGTCTCAACACTAAAAATTAGAAGAAGGCTGAGCCTGGTGGCTCCCACCTGTAATCCTGTCACTTTGGGAGGCCAAGGAGAGCAGATCACTTGAGCACAGGACCAGTTGAATCTGTGAGGTCAAGGCTGCTGTGATCAGTGCCACTGCACTCTAGCTTGAGCGACAGAGTGAGACCCTATCTAAAAAAAAAAAAAAAAATTGAAAGAGATGTAGGTATGAAGTGTTAGATCATCCATGAAAATTTTATGGACTTCACAAGTTAAAAACCTAGGCCCAAAAGTAGAATCATGTAGGCAAAAACATCCTTAAGGACAGCAGAGTGAAGAATGTCAGCAGGAAAGCAAAGTCAGGGAAGTAGAAAAAGGACCAAGAAAGAGTCATTTCTAGCAAATCAAGGAAGAAAGCAGGTAAGAAGTTGAGAAAGGTCAGTAGTGCTAGTTGCTTCAGAAAGCTTAGGGAAGGTGAGAATGAAACAGGAGCTGTTTTATTTCCCAACTAGGTGTTTGGTGGTAGGTTTTGCCAGAGCACTTTCACCAGAGTGGTGGGTCAAGCCAGATAACATGAGCAGGTGACCTGTGCAGTGACAATCACATCCCTGAGTCAGACTCCTTTTGTGAGGCCCTTGGTGGAAGGAGGAAGGACACAGCAGGCAGTGGCCAGGTGAGGGAGGACCAAGGTCCAGAGGTATGCTTGCAGCACTACAGAGTCTGGAGCAAGGTTCAAGCTGACAGGAAGGGAAAGGTGAGATGAGGATGAAAAAGACAGGAGATGGGGGTGACAGTCATGAGCAAGGGCTTAAAATCTAGCAGTCCTGATTTTAGCTCCATTTTGTAGATGAGCAAACTGAGGTTAAGGGATATTCGCAGGGGTGTGTATAAGTCAGAAGTAAGGGAGGTGGAATTTGAACCTAAGATTTAATGACCAAGTTCCTAAAATACATTATTGACTCTGAGATTTTTGACGTGGAGTAGACTCAACACTCTTGTTTTGAGTTGTGTTGGAGGTGATTGATACATGGTTCATTTTCACATTATTCTCTCGATTTGTTCTCCATTTATTTAATCATTTAATTGTTTATTTCTGGAGCTCTACTGTCTGTTAACTGCAATGTCTGCTTTACTTTTCCCCCCACAATGATAAATTATTTTTATTAAGTAATTGAAACAACTCTTAATCTATTTGTTTTGTTGTTCCCTACTGTAAGTTCATATGTCTTATAATAAAATTAATTTATTTTTTCCTAAAGTCATCAATTTATACTCATCCCACATGAATATATTCCTAAAACATGGCTATCCCTAAAATAGGTTCACATTTATTATGAGTTGTCACTTAAAAATAGCAGAAGATAAATAGGTTATTGAAAAAGGAAAAACCTAAAAATACACATTTAAATTCTGGCACCATTTTTCTTTCAATGTACAATTATCTTTTACCTGAATATTTGTTCTCCAAAAAGCATCAGGAGCTAATGCAAACATTCCCAAGATAGTTCTAAAGTACTAAAAATAATTGCTTAAACTTCTGTGACAAAGGAGTTTTTACAATTCACTGACATATTAGCTAAGCAAATAGGCAAAATGCTTAAAAAACATATTGGTATGCACATCCTTGCTAAGTGGATACATCATATAGAAAGCGAAAAGGAAAAATGAAGGTGATAGTGTAGGTATTTTAGGTTAAGCAAGAAAGAGCTCAAATTTGAGGGTATTTTTTTTCACTCAATGTCGTACTTCATCATCCATAACAAAACTATCTCTGGTTAGGTGGCCAGGCATGGTGGCTTACGTCTGTAATCCCAGCACTTTCGGAGGCCGAGGCAGATGGATCACGAGGTCAGGAGATCCAGACCATCCTGGCTAACATGGTGAAACCTTATCTCTACTAAAAATACAAAAAATTAGCTGGGCGTTGTGGCAGGTACCTGTAGTCCCAGCTACTTGGGAGGCTGAGGCAGGATAATTGCTTGAACCTGGGAGGCGGAGGTTGCAATGAGCCGAGATCGTGCCACTGCACTCCAGCCTGGCGACAGAGCAAGACTCCATCAAAAAAAAAAAAAAATTTATGTTGTTTTTCACCTTTTTCTGGTATCTTGTTGAGTAGCTTAATAATCAACCTTCTAAATTCTTTATCTGGTATTTCAAAGATTTCATCTTGGTTTAGATCCATTGCTGGGAAGCTAGTGTGATCTTTTGAACCTTGTTTTATCATATTACCTGTATTTTCTGGTCCCTTCTCATTTGTGTAGACTGTTTCTTCAAATTGTTCTTGAATTTATTCTTGATTTAACTGTATTTATTTTTTAATTTCTTTTTCCCCTCCTCTTAAATACGTGACTTTAATGTTTATAGTTTATTATAGCCTAATTTGATTTTGCTGCTTTTAGAGGTGAATATTCTATATGAGTTTCTTGGTTATATGGAGTCTTTGTATGCTAAGTTTCTCACATGCTGATTGTAGTAGTTACGTACTCGGGGTGTGGGCAATTTCATTGTCTCCTGTGGAATTGGAATGGCAAGGATCTCTTGAAGCTTATATCATTTCCCCATGGTATGCACTTTTTAATTTAATTTTTCCCCAGTATTTTATTGACTCTCTTGATGATCCAGGCTTCAGGCCAGTAGGGGAAGTATCTCTAGATAGAAACCAGTTGCAGCTAAAGCAGGTGGTTAGATACAATACACAATGGTGGGCTGAGGCCCCAGCCTTGATTAATGTGGCTAGGGGATCTCTCAGTTAGATGCACTGAGTTTTATCAGGGTGAAGAGTGGGAACTAACTCAGCTCTCCTGTCAGGCCAGCGGCGAGAAAGTTACCCACCTCCCAGCCTCACTCCTGTCCTAATATTTCGGCTGTTCACATCAGACAGGCACCTCTTTTCATCTGTAGGGATGAGGGATGTTGATGTTCCATGTGGAAAGGAATTATGATTCTGCCTCTTTTGCAAGCCTAAACTCGGAGAGTGCGTCTGTGAGGATGCAGTCACCATGAATTGTTCCAGGAGGGCTATCTATAGGTGCATTCATGCTGAGTTCCCATGGAAGAAGTTCCAGTTGTGTCTATGGTGGTTGACAAAGTGGAGAACAAGGACCCTTTCTCCACAAGCCTTCACGAGCATGCAGGCTGCCTTCCTGTTGGGGTAGAGGTTCAGACTTTCCCTGTTGCACCCAGCACTGCAGTTGTGTCTCTGCTGCAGAAAGATGTGGGACTCAAGCCCTGCTGTCCAAATTCTTTTGTCCCTTGGGGTGTTCCCTTGATGTGGTGCTCTCCCCCTTCCCCTAGAAATAGGAGGTCTTGATAGCCAGACTACAGTGATTGCTATTGCTCTTCTGGGTCTAGCCACCCAGTGGGGTTGCCACTCTCCAGGCTGGTGCTGGGAAATGTCTTCAAATGATCATCCAGTGATGTGACCTTTCTTCAAGTCTCCCAGCAGTGGATACTCCAGCTGTGATAGAGGTGGCAGGGGAGTGACGTAGACTCTGTGAGATTCCTTGGTTATAGATATGCTTAGTGTGCTGGCTTTCTTGAATGCTGGTTTTAATTGTGGTTAACTTTCACCTGGATAGGCTCAGGACCTCTGGTGGCTAGAGTATTATGGGCATTGGTGATAGCTAAGGTCATTTAGCCATTTTCTCCTTCCTGGGCACAGTGTTATTCCACCTGTAGATGCTGTAGTGGACTGCATCAGCTAGTTCCAGCCACGACGTGGTGCTTGCAAGAGAGCACCAGCTGCAGTACTAGCTGTGGGATTTGAGCTAGCCCTAAATTGCCTAGGGGAAGTAACCTGGTTTCTGAGGCAATGGGCAGGGCTGTAAAGCTCCTACAAGTTTGTGTCCTTTGTGTTAAGCTACCTAAGCTACCGGGGTGGGTGCAGGGATACATACCAACAGGTGGGGATAGGGTTGAGCAGATCTGTGCTCTGACTCTCCTTGAGTGGGGCCAGCCATGGTTCCTTTGAGGGTCAGGGGTGGTTCTCAGGCAGTGGGATAATGTTCCAGAGGTAGTATAACTGCCTCTGCTGCACAGAAGAGTTCACAATGGGAGTGGAGTGTAGCAGGCAGCAGTAAGCCTTGCCCAGCTCCCATGCAGTTGGCAAGGCCGATCTCACTCCCTCAGTGTTCTTACTAGCAGCACCAGGCTTAGATCCAGGCAGTCTGCACACAGAACCCAGATCTGTCCCAGGCCATAAGCTTTCCCACCTGGCTTTCTGGCCATGCCCCTCCTATCTGCCCATGATGCAGATGTGTCTGCAATGCACTTCCCTGTCCCGCCACCCCCGGCCCCTGCCGGTTCTGGTCAAAGGAGTTCATCCCTGCTCGAGATTATATCATGAAATTCAGTTAGGAGCACCTTTCACCCTGCAACCCCTTTCTGAGCTAGTTGACCGGCTTCCCCAAGGTCCCCTGTGAGATATATTCAGGTGTGGCTTCCCTCGGTTCATGCTGGAGACTGGGAATGCCTGCAAGGCATTTGCTGCTGCTACTTCTACTTTTATGTTTCTCATCACTCCCTTAAGCAGTTCCAGCTCTGGGTAGGGTTAAGGCCTTCTCCCATGACCTGGATTTTCAGATTCCTGTGTGGGGATGTGTATTCTGAAGGTAGTCTCTCCCACTCACACTCTGAGGATTTATAGTTTTTCACCTGTCTCTTGGAGTAGACTTCAGCCTTCTGCTTCTTTCAAAGGGTCTATGGATTCTTGCAGTTTTCCTGTTGAGTTCCTGTATTGCTCCTTGGAAGAAAGTTCACAGTGCAAATCTCTACACACTATTGTGTCCTTCCCAGTGGGAGAGGCACGCTAACACTGCCTCCAATCTGCCATCTTCTGGATTTGCTTCTATAGCCCTATGGACTTCTGTCGGCAGGTTTTATATTGGGCTGTGCAATTTGACCTATAAGCCAGTAGATGGTGTTTATGGGTAAAAGCTGGCTGTGGGTGATGTGGCCAGATATATACTTGATCCTTGTTTACCAGGAGAAGCTCTCTATTGCCTCAGGCAATGGGGTGATCCATGGAGTGCACAGTGGTCTGAGCTCCCTGCTTAGCTCTGGGTGGGCAGGGGGCAAGATGAATTGAGCCAGACTGGACAGGCTCATTTACAGCTCCCCTGGTGTTGGGCACAAGTAGCAGTGCTGAGGGAGAATCCAGTGGGTGGCCATCAGGTGCCCAGTGATGTGCCTAGGCATGGAGCTGGGAAATCTCCTTGGCTCCCAGTTCTCTGCTCAGGCAGAGGGACACCTGAACTCCTGATCAGGAGAGTGGGTTTGGGTGCTCCAGGTATCTGTAAGTCTGCCTGGGCTTGGAGTGCAAAGGGCTCTGCTATACTACAATCTCTGCACAAGAAAGGTGGGGTGGCTCAGGCTGGTAACCCAGATGAGCAGGCACTGCAACTACCTGGAGATATGCCTGGGCATGGGTGGAGAGGACCCCACTTCACCATGGTCTCTGCACAGGAAGGGCAAGCTGGCTCAGTCTGCTGATTCAGGTGAGTGGGTGCTCTGAGTGCTTGGAGATCTGCCTGGGCATGGAGTGGAATGGGCTCCACTGTACCATACAGGAAGGGTGGGGCAGCTCAGGCCGCCAATCTGGGCAAGGAAATGTGCCGAATACCTGGAGATCTGTCTTGGTGTGGAGTGGAGAGAGTTCCCCTGCACCAGGTTCTCAGCAGAGGAGGGATGGAGAGACTCAGGCTGCTGAACCAGGCAAGCAGGAGCTCTCAGTGCCTAGAGACCTTCCTGAGCATGAAGCAGAGAGGGTCCCCCTGCTCCAGGATCTCTACGTAAAGGGTGAAGCAGCTCACACTACCAGTCCAGGTGAGCAGGTGCTTTGAATGCCTGGAGATCTGCTTGGGTGTGGAGCACAAAGGGCCCTGTTGCACCACAATCTATGTCCAGGAAGGGAAGCATGGCTCAGGCTGCTGGTCCAGGCAAGCAGGTGCTCTGAATGCCTAGAGATCTGCCTAGGCATGGAGTGGAGAGGGCCGTACTGTACCATGATGTGTGCACAGGAAGGTTGGGGCAGCTCAGGCCGCCAGTCTAGGAAAGCGTTTGCCCTTACTGCCTGGAGTCCTACCTGGGAGTGGAACAGAGAGGGCCCTGCTGCACCATGATCTCAGGGGAGCAGTCTGGTGCACTCAGCAATGACACATGCAGACTGATTCTATGTTGCCAAGCTGGCCCTGGCTGCAAGTCTCATTGCCCAGGAGAAACTTCAGCTGTAGCAGCTCTCTCCTCCCACCCCAAGCCTGCAGTTGAGAGGAGCACAATTCCAGTGCCTGCTGCTGAGGCACTTTCCTCAGTTCTGGCTGTGGAAGTCCCTACCCCACTCCAGAGCAAGTGCTCCAATCTCTCAGTTCCAGATCTAGGAAATGCCTGCAGCTTCTTCTGGTGTCTTTTCCTCTCAGCACCTCCAGGCCTGTCCCCAAGATAGCTCTGGGGCTTGGGAGAAACATCATTCTCTACCTTGGCCTGGGTTGCTTGGTTCCCCAGTGGAAAGGTAAATTACAGAGGGAGACTCTTTCTCAGGTGCTGGGGCTTCACTCACATCAGCTGGATGCCATCACAGGGGCTGTTTGCCTGCATTGTCCTCCCTGAGATCTGGAACATCCTTCATGATTCCAGTGAATTCCCATTTTCCTTCTTGAATTAAAGCTCAGAGAGTTGATCTTTTTGCACTATGTTGCTATTTCTAAGTGGCTGAGGCACACTAAAAGCCTGTAATACACCATATTGGAACTGCCCCCTGCCCCCCCTCCCCAAAAAAGGAGTTGAGTTTTAATCTTCATTCACCACTGACTCTTTATGTTTCTTTACTGCTGTTTACAGAGAAGAAGAGAAGAAGTTTGGAGTTGATCCCCTTGACTGCTCGAATGGTGATGGCCCACCTGGTGAACCACCTGGGGCACTACCCCCTCAGTGGGGGCCCTGCCATACTGCACAGCCTTGTCAGTGAGAACCACGACAATGCCCACGTGGAAGGCTCTGAGCTGTCCTCTGAGGTGTTCAGAAGCCCAAACCTGCAGCTCTTTGTATTTAACGATAGCACCCTCATCTCCTACCTTCAGACACCCACAGAAGGACTGGCAGGAGGATCACCAGTGGGCTGTCTCTCTGATGTGAGAGTAATTGTGAGGGATATCTCAGGGAAGTACTCTTGGGATGGTAAGGTTTTATATGGACCTTTGGAAGGCTGCTTAGCACCCAATGGAAGAAATCCTTCATTTCTGGTTTCCAGCTGGCATCATGACACATTTGGACCTCAGAAAGACTCTTCTCAAGTTGAGGAGGGGGATGATGTTCTTGACAAATTACTTGAAAACATTGGCCATACAAGTCCTGAATGCCTTTTACCATCACAGCTAAATCTAAATGAACCTTCCCTACCCCCATGTGGCATGAACTATGACCAAGAGAAGGAAATTATCGAGGTCATTTTGCGCCAAAATGCTCAGGAGAATGAGTATATCCAGAGTCATAACTTCGATTCTGCAATGAAAGTCACCAGCCAAGGGCAGCCCTCCCCAGTGGAGCCCCGAGGACCCTTTTATTTCTGCAGGTTATTGCTTGATGACTTGGGAATGAATTCTTGGGACAGAAGGTAACAATCCATGCTAGACCTCCAGTTATTTTATTATTTTCATGTACTTGTATTTTTTATCAGTTTGTGGTTGGGGAAGAAGAAAAGATTGGAGAAGAGAGAAGAGTGGAGATTTTTCTTTATTTTAACATTTGCAGCTTATTTTCTGCTACTAAATTAAAGCTAGAAATGAAATTATGCTGTACTGGTGTGCAGACTGAATTCCAAACATGTTGGATATTTTAAAGGATATCAAACATTTTGGGGGGGGAGGGCGGTGGTGGTTGTTGTTGTTTGTTTGTTTTTTGTTTTTTGAGACAGAGTCTTGCTCTGTTGCCCGGGCTGGAGTGCTGTGGCGTGGTCTTGGCTCACTGCAACCTCCGCCTCCCAGGTTCAAGCAATTCTTCTGCCTCAGCCTCCTGAGTAGCTGGGATTACAGGCGCCTGCCACCATGCCCGGCTAATTTTTTGTATTTTTAGTAGAAACGGAGTTTCACCATGTTGGCCAGGCTGGTCTCGAACTCCTGACCTCATGAGTCACCTGCCTTGGCCTCCCAAAGTGTTGGGATTATAGGTGTGAGCCACTGCACCTGGCTGAAAGTGTGTGTTTTACTTATTGCTTTGTCCATTATTGTTTCTGCCTTCATGCAGGAAGCAAATGAACTACAAAGGTGAATAAACCACAGTCTAACCTTAGGTCTGATGTGGGAGATAGACCTAATACAACTCTGATAAAGGATAGAATGACCCAGGAGTTCATGAGTAATGATTAAATTCAGTGGGAAGTACAGAGCAATGGAGAAGACTTTGTGGAAAGGGGCGGATTTGAGCTGGACCCTGATAGTGGAGTGGAGTTTTTAAGAACAGAGGTGGGGAAAAGGGATTCACAGCAGAGCTGACACTGGAAACAGACACAGTCACACAGTCACATGCATATAAGTCACAACACTCACCAAAGAGCCATCTGTGTCACTGGGTAGTAATGGGATGCCGGTGGAATTTTTATACCTTTGCATGTCTTAAGGAGAATGGAGTTCATTCTGTAGGTTTCTATCACAAATCTTTTGTGAGTGAGGTGGTAGAGGATGGGTGATAGGTATTTTTATTAAATTACTGATTGAAAAGCGGCAAAATGGTTCTGTAATCACATGGTTTTTCTTCCATCCTTTTTTCTTTATAGGAAGAATTTTCATCTGTTGAAGAAAAATTCAAAATTATTGAGAGAGCTAAAAAATTTGGACTCCCGCCAGTGGTATGTGAAAGTATATCAAATCACTTTTTTCCTGTTTGTCTCTGGGTATTCTTGGATAACAGATACAACTGCAGGAATGAATGCACTTACTGAGACATCCAAGGATAGTTCTGTAACCTAGCATCTGGTGACATTTGCTCATGCCATACCTCTGGTGTTTTTTACTATAAGGAATAAACTTTCATGTTTGGTACACTGAAAAGAGGTCACCACTCCCACCTAATCTGTACTTTTGATTGTCTTTCTTTGTGGCTGCCAGAATTCTCATTTGATCTCTGCAACCACCTCTTTATGATGAAGAAAAAGTTTACCTAGGTTAAACAGCCCATGGTTGCTCATACCATATTATCTAAAGCCAAGTGAGTCTGACTTCAAAATCCATGCTGTGTACCAAGGCGCTAACATTCTGTACTTGTGGCTTCATAGTGTTGGAAAGGTTAAAACCAGTGTGTTGTAATTAATAACTCTCTGTTAATAAGCCTCATTCTCCAAAGCTGGCCAGACTCTCAGATCCACCCCTGTTCTATACTATCTCAGAAGCATTTCTATAGATGAGCTCACAACCATGAAAAGTGTTTGATTTGGGGAATGTGTGTTTCCAAAATCATCTAAGTCAAGAATAAGTATAGTACTTGGTACATAACAGATGTTTCAAAGTTTTGAAGAGAATAAGCTGCCTCCTTAACCCTTAGTTTTTAAAAAAAAACCTCTTTTAAAAAAAACAAAAAACAAAAAAAACAACTTCATTCCCCTTTTATTCCACTTAGGAATATTCTGATATTCTCTGAGCTCTCAAATTAAAAATTCAGGTTGTTTTCCTCAAGTTTATTTTTCAACTCTTCACACTATATTTTATTCATTACATTTTTCTTACTACTCGTTAACTCATAAATTTTTAAGTCCATTTTGAGCTATATGTTTTTAAAGGGTGGTGCAGTTGCTGGCTGAGAAGTAAGAAGGAAGAAAGGAAATAACAGAGTCCTGCTTTATCTTGACCAAAGTCATATCCTAGAATTTCAGAAAATTACTAGAGCTCTTTATTCTCTATTCATTAAATCCTTCATTCATCCACTCTCACGCTTCTCTTCTAAGTCGTGAGCTTCTCCTGCTTGCACTTACAGTGATGAGTTATAGCCTGCTGAATGAATATTTTCACCATCGTGTGTGTTTCAGTGGCTTTGTGATGGTGTTATTGTTTATTTTAAAGTTTTGATCAAAACTCAAAGTGACACATGCTTAAATTTTATTGTCAAGCAAACTCTTGGTTCATGTCAGTATTATTTGCATATCACCTTGACAACTGTGTTTCTTCTTTGGTGTTTTGAATTCTTGAATTGGATGTAAACCCAACTAGCAAAGTCCAGTTGGAATTTTCTTTTAAACACTTGGAAGATTATATTTCAGAGAGGTCCTTTGGTGATGTCACTAAGGACTGAGTAGATAAAATAATATTAAACTTACAGCTGTGTATTGTTTCCATCCTTCAGAAGCATGTGGTATTAAGATGGATTTGTTTGTATTGACCATTTTATGGGAATCAGAAGGGCATAAGTTTTTTTTTTTTCTTTTTTTCTTTTCTCTTCTTCACCCTTCTACTTTCCCACCTGTCTCCCAGGTCACTCGGGACCTCTTATTGCATCTCATATTTACACACATGTTGAGGTATGAACTATTACGTGTATGTTTCCAAGTCTTGGGAATGTGACAGGATGGCTGTTCCAAACCTGATTCCCTCTGCAGAAGGGGATATGAGGGCCTTTTTTCCTAGGTGGCCTTACTGTTCTCTGGAGAGTGATAAATATTTCAGTATCAAGAAATATACAGACATTTTTTTAAAAACACAGAATTAAAATATTCATTTGTAATTTTACCTGGATAAAGGAGCCATTCTCAGTCCAGAAGCCTGCAGCACCATTGCCATTTTAAATGTCTTTGTTTCCTGACTTATCAGGTGAAACAGTAAAAGATTTGAATTTGAATACTTTTTTAAAGTCATTAGAAATGAAAAACCTGAAGCTGCCATTTCTCACCTTGCCCTTCACTGTATTCCATTTCCTGATTATTCTTGTGATTCCTTTTCCCTAGAGGAACATAGATCAACTTTTCTATGGAAATTCTGTAAGGGATTTATTCTGAAGAACTCAGGGATTCACCATCCTCTCCCTCCTTCCTTCGGTATTAAATAAGCAGTCATTTGGGTTCCACACTCAGCTTTTTAAGCATATGCTGAATTATTCCAGGCTTCTTAGTATTAAGTGAATACTTGGTTTCATGTAATTGCGGTCAATTTGTTGAGTGTTAATGCACTTTAGTTGCATGAGGTACAATTGAATTAGCTCCCTGGGGTACTGTTGCAGCGAAATACGGCTTTGAATAGCTGAGTGGCAGTCCCCTCCCTGCGCCTTGATCAACCTTCACTTAAAACCCCAACTCCTGGATTTAGTGTCTTCGACATCAAATGGGTATCATTTTAAGGTGAAGGGTGTTTTGAAGATTCTTTTTGAAGAAACTAGAAATAAGTCTGGTACTCCTCAGCTTTGAGAAATCTAGACTGCCCTGTATTTTGGTCAGGTAGCAGGTAAGAAAATACCTTGTCTGTCAACTTTCATTTAGAACATTTCTGTTTAATTCTGTTATCAATTTATCTCACTGCTCTTGATGCATAGTTCCTTCTTAACATGTTCTTTGGAAAAGTTGAGGCTATCTTGCAGCTATGGTCTAGATTGTCAATGCTCTGATAAATGTACATACAAATCACAGTGGGCTTCCCTTTTAGATATAAATGCCTTCTTGCCACTACATGGGGAGGTGGATGTTAAAATCATGCTTTCCTTTGGCTTTTTCATGTGACAGCACAAGGAAACTGAGCTATTCTGGTCTATTCCTAATAAGAAAGAACAGTGCATTCTAATGAGGAAGGGGAGATTGTTAATTTCATGTATGTGTGTTTCTGAATTACCTGCTCCTTCATACATTGGTGTACTTCTTATGGATGTGAAGTGCTGTTGATGTTGCTAATTACCATTTCAAAAGCATGGTTCTAATAAGGCCAGACACAGCTTCTTCATCCTAGCAGGCTCTCTGTGTACTAACATTTTGGAGAACGTGAAATTTGATGAATGTTTACAACTAAAGGTCATCTTTCCTCACACTCACACTGGTCAGCCCCATCATTCAGGCTTAGCTCTCTTGTGCTCCCACATTGAGTTAATGAGGGCTCAAGGACTTAGGAACAGCTGCAATGGAAAAAGCTTAGATTTTTAAGGAGAATAAACTGAAACATTGTAGATAAACCTGAGGTTGTTTTTATGTATGTAAAGTCTATAAAACAAAAATTAAATGCTGAGGATTTTTTACATATGTAGAGAGACCTGCAGATAGAAATTGAATAACTATACTTCTCCACCTTTGTTGAAAGAGGCAGTCTTTTAGGTCTTAGGTTATGGTTTCTGTTATTATCCAAGTGCCCAAATTTTTATAGCACTTGGAATAGGCTAGTCAGATTCTACGCCACTGGTGTCCCCTGCCTGTTCCTGCTGCATGAGGACAAGCTTTCTAAATTTATTTTAAGGACATATTAAAGATATTGGGGCTGGGCATGTTGCTCAAGCCTATAAAGCCAGCACTTTGGGAGGCCAAGGTGGGTGGATCACCTGAGATCAGGAGTTCAAGACCAGCCTGGCCAACATGGTGAAACCCTGTCTCTACTAAAAATAATAATAAAAAATTAGCCAGGTGTGGTGGTTGTGTGATGGCACGCACCTGTAGTCCCAACTACTGGGACGGCTGAGGCACAAGAATCACGTGAACACAGGAGGCGGAGGTTGCAGCGAGCTGAGATCACGCCACTGCACTCCAGCCTAGGTGATGAAGTGAGACTGTCTAAAAAAAAGATATTGTGAAAAGATTAAAAACATTAAAGATTATCTTTAAGATGTATTAAAGATTACGTGAAAGTGTCTTTTAAAATAGAAGCAACCTAAATGAGGATTTGGGCTATGACATATTAATATAATGAAATGTTGTTACAATCATTAAACCTCTGTTGTAGAAGCACATGATGTAAAAGTCTTCACACTAAAAAATGATTGAAATGGTGAATTTTATGATATGTATATTTTACCACAATAAAAAAAGTGTTCACAGATATTGTAAGTGAAAAAATCTGTTGTAAAGCAGAATGTAGTAACTTCTCATATGTGCATGCAAAAGTGTATCCTAAAATGGTGTAACGGCTGTGTTCTTTGCTTATCTGTTGAAATTGCTAGTGATTTTTATTCTTCTCTTTTCTTTCTGTATTTTCTAATTCTTCTTCCAAATATGTTTATTACATATAACCTATGGGGGAAGTGAATAAGCTATCTTAGTAAAAGGAGAGAACTCTCTTCCTCCAGTTATTTGTGTAACTTTTTAATTGAGAGTTAATTAGTTCTGATTATTAAGTAGAGAAATAATGCACACAGAAGGAAATCTTAGAGAATTTGTTAAAATATGGAGCTCAGTTCCACCAATATGATATCTAATCAAATTACAATGTTGAAATATTAAACAATTTGACAGAAAAAAATATTTCTGTATTTAAGAACTTTATAGTTATTCCTATGAGATTTATCAGAATGTAGTATAAAAAAAAGAGAAAGGTGGAACCGCTCTGGAAGTGGACATCGAAACTTTAAAAAAACCAAAACTCTTGGATGATTGGGCTAGGGAATGAATGATTCGTAATTAAAACTCCGTTTGAATAAGAACAATGTTTTCATCTCTAAACTATCACCAAATGCTTGGTACAGCCCCAGGTATTTTGTCACTTTACTCCAGGGTATAATTTGTAGAAATTTATTATTAATGCATTCAAATGTATCACCTATATATCTGGTCAGTAACAGAGATTTAACTGAACACCTACTGTATACAAAGCAGTATGCTAGATGTGCAAAAGAGAAAATGGCAGGGCTTCTTTTTTCAAAGTGCACATCACTTTTGCTTGATTTAATACCAGAGTATCCCAGATCTATCTTGGAACAAGCAGATGGAGGGTTTTGGCTAAAAGGGGTTCCCCTGACTAGCTGTCCACCTTGTCAGGCACCCTCAGAATAGTCAGAGCCCAGGAGTTAGTAAACCCCTTCATGAAGAAAATACCTAAGTGTGTTCTGCTTGGAAGGGTATTCCTTTTCTCATAAAATCGTGGCATATTTTATAGTTCCAATCACAGAACCACCCAGTAGCCTAAAGTGTGAGTTAAATACGGACAGTCACATAGATCTATTCACAATTTATATCTATTTGAAATACTTTAAAGGATTATTTTTTACCAAAAACAGAGAACTTACCAAATGTTGTGCCCCAACCTGCTGGTCAGTGTATCTTGTATCTGAGGGTATGATCTCAGGAAACAGATGGCCTTGCTGCAGTTCCCATCCCCTGCTTGCTGGGTGTGCTTTTTGTTTCACTTTCTGTGCCTCCTTTCAACCACCTCTGCTAGGGAGGTGATAATAATACTCATCTCTTTAGCACGTTTGTGAAGAATAAATGAGACCATGTGTCAGACCATCTCAGAACACTGACTGACCCCTAGCAGGTTCTCAGTAAATGTAAGCTCAGTGGTAGAAGTCATGCTGGTTGAATTAATAGTAGTGAAGTAAAATTTTACATGTAAGAATTCTAACTCCTTTAAATTTAAAAATTTATAGCCGTGAGACACACAAAATCGCAGTGTTTTACATTGCTGAAGGTCAAGAAGACAAGTGTTCAATCCTCTCTAACGAAAGAGGAAGCCAAGCATATGAAGACTTTGTTGCTGGACTTGGATGGGAGGTAATGCATTTCATTCAGTAGGTGTTTATTGACCAGCACTATTTAAAGATGTGTCCAAAGTAGACATTGTATAAGTTTTCACATGTGCTTTTGCATTCAAATATAGCATAGGTAGAGTTCTGGAATTGAAGAATTTATTGGATTTGACGTCTATTAGTTGCTTGTCAGTATTTAATATATGAACTTTTGTTTTCCTTTAACTTTCCTCTTAATATTTTTTCATTTGCTTTTTATCAGAACTGAATAGTCAGATGGGCTCTCCCAGCCATAGACAGTTTGTAGTAAGAGAAGACAAATGTGGGCAGAGAAGCAATGGCTTTGGCCACAGTATGGAGATTGAAGAAGAAGTCAATGACTTGATGGGTGAAAAGATGAAGAAAGAGTTGGATGAAGTCAAAAGTTGCAATGAAAATATAATATAATAGCCATGATGGTTTAGCTATCAACCTATTTCCCTAAGGTAGATCTCAGGATGATTGATGTTGGAAAAGTTTATTTTTTTCTTTATTAAATGGTACTCTGACATACAGACATATATACATTTATACACACACACACACACACACACACACACACCCCTTTCCCCCCAAAACATAAACCTAAACAAAAAATTCCTAGAATCTGAAAGAATTAGGAGTAGTTACAATGGAAATCAACATATCTAAAATAATTTACTTATTTTTTTTATTTTTTTATTTTTTATTTTTTATTTTTTTTATTTTTTATTTTTTTTGAGACGGAGTCTTGCTCTGTCACCCGGGCTGGAGTGCAGTCGCGTGATCTCGGCTCACTGCAACCTCCACCTCCCAGGTTCAAGCTCTTCTCCTGCCTCAGCCTCCCAAGTAGCTGAGACTACAGGCACGCACCACCACGCCCAGTTAATTTTTTTGTATTTTTAGTAGAGACGGAGTTTCACCGTGTTGGCAACGATGGTCTTGATCTCTTAACCTGGTGGTTCACCTGCCTTGGCCTCCTAAAGTGCTGGGATTACAGGCGTGAGCCACCTCATCCGGCCAATTTCCTTATTTTTTATTAGTTTCTTGAGTATCTGTGCTGTGAAAAACTTTCTGGGTGCGTTTGAGAGCTCAGTGCTAGCAAGGGGACTGAGGTAGGGATGGGGACAGGGTAAGAGTACATGAGAATCAAAACAACATCCTTACTAAGGCAAGTAGGTTTGAGTCTAACAGTTGCTGCACTTCCAGTAAATCATTGTTCTTACAAGTAAGGCTACTTCTAATTTGTCATAGAATATAGTTATTTAATATATTTTTAAGTCATACATTATCAGTTAGAGTTTTAAGAGTATATGTTTACTGTATTTGGCACAGAGGAGATTCTTCTATTTCTTTTTTCATATGTGTTAGAATAGGTATTTTACTGAAAGAATACTAGTCTATGACAAGTTAAACATTTTGGATAAAGACACTAAGAAGTGAACACTCATGCCATAACTTTAAAATGAATTATGACTCATAAACTTTCAGCAGTGGTGTAAAGTGGTTGTTCAACCCTTTTGAAAGGCAGTTTAGCAAAGTTTGCTGAATATTTTTAATATTGGTACCTTTTGACCCAGCGTCTTAGAAGAACACTCCTTTGAGTGTGCTTTCTGATTTAAAAAAGCAGAAACCCCCAAATTCCATCAATAGGGAACCTATGTGTATACACACACACACACACACATATATACACACACACATACATTTATACATACAGGTGGGAAAAAAGTTAGAGATTATATACCAAAAGTTTGATAGTGGTTTTATTCAGTTGATATGATTATAGAGCACTTTCATTTTTAATGTTTTTTATTTCTTTAACATCTTAATCTGGTCTAACTTTGTATTACATTTGTTTGTAATCAGAAGGAAAGATATAAAAATGAAAATAATTTATGTTTTTGTGAATTCACAGTCCTGCTTAGTGAAAGAACAGCTCATTGTTGATCCTCACTCTTTCTTCTTTGTGACCTTTGTCAGGTGGATCTCTCCACCCACTGTGGGTTCATGGGTGGCCTTCAGCGCAATGGCAGCACCGGGCAGACGGCCCCTTACTATGCTACCTCGACTGTGGAAGTGATTTTCCACGTTTCCACTCGAATGCCGTCAGACTCAGATGATTCCCTCACCAAAAAGGTAAGGCGTCTCCTCGGGCACCATTCTTAGCTGCCCTGGTTTGTTGGTGAGGTTCTCCTAGGACAGACAAATACAAAGGTAGAACGCATACTGAGATGGTTTCCTCTGAACTCTACGACCCTGAGATTAAGGTTTAGGAAAAGAAAGGGTCTTAAATGTTACTTTTGGATCTTCCCTCCGGTGAATATTACCTGATGGAAAGTGACATTTTTGATCTCACAGATTGTCAAAGGTTACAAAGTATGATAACCCTGTACTGGTGGGGCTCTGGGAAAGCAGGCCCCTCCGAGGCTTGCTACAGAGCGATTTGGCAGCATCTGTCAACTTAAGTGCAGGTGCGCAGCTGCCCAGCAGCCCCACTGTTGCCCCTTACCTTTTATTCTTCAACTTGCTCTGTGGCCAGTTTTCCTTAGAATTCAAAGGAAACCTTATCCACCCCTGAGGAACCTCCCCCAGGGAACTTGGCCTTTACCTTCCAACCTGCAGGATGTTTGCCTCGGGCGACCCTGTGTTAAAAGTGAGGAGCGCCTTAAAAGAAAAGGCATTTGACTCTAGGAAGGAAGCCTCTAATCGGATCTGCTTCTGTAAGCTTCCAGATGAGGAGAACATCTCAGAGCAACTGTGATTTGCACTCACTTGGCCTGCTAGCAGGTGGGGAACCTAGAATTCCCACCTTTCTCTCTCCCTACCACATAAATGCAAGGGACTGAGGGCAGCACCTCACGTGCTGACTAAGGCTGGCCACTGGGGAGTCTACTGTGGTGGTTATAGCCAGACCCCGGTGACAGGCGCAACAAGGATCAGATGTATATTCAGTTATTTCATCAGCCTGTGCCTCAGTTTTTCATCTATTAAGTGAGATAAAAAACACAGCCTATGTTACGGGGTTGTTGAGTGAAGTAAATGAGATAATTCCTATGAAATTATGAAATTGCTTAGCACAGTGCCTGGGACGATGTCTCTGACCATCATCCCTCATTATTGCCCGTTGGTCTAATTGATTCTTTTTTTCCCCTGCCCCATTAGCCAGGTGCTTTATATTGGCAGATTGGCCTCACTCTACCTGCTTTATTTCTTTATTGCACGGTTTTGCTTTTTCACCACTGCAACCACAGATGTCTGGACTATGTACAGGCATACCTTGTTTCGTTGTGCAGCACTTTATTGCGCTTCACAGGTATTACATTTTTTACAAATTGGATATTTGTGGCAACCCTTAAACAAGTCTATCGGCACCATTTTTCCAACAGCAGGTGCTCATTTGTGTCTCTGTCTCATTTTGTAATATTCACAGTGTTTCTAACTTTATTATTATTATTATTATTATCATCATCATCTCATATGGTGGTCTGTAATCAGTCATCTTTGATGTTGCTATCGTAATTATTTTGGGACACCACAAACTGCCCATATAAGATGGCAAACTTAATTGATACATGTTGGGTGTGTTCTGACTGCTTCACCCACCGGCCGTTTAATAACCCCGTGTGGCCTCAAAGTATTCAAGTGAAAGGAAAAATTGGATGTCTCTCACTAGAAATCAAAAGCTAGGAATGATTAGAAGACATGTTGAAAGCTGAGATAGGCCAAAAGCTAGACCTCTTTAAACATTTACCCAAGTTTTGAACATAAAGGAAAATTTTTTGAAGGAAATTAAAAGTGCTACTCCAGTGAACACATGAATAATAAGAAAATGAAATAGCTTGTTACTGATACGGAGAAAGTTTTAGTGGCCTGAACAGATCAAACCAGCCATAACGTTCCCTTAAGCCAGAACCTAATCCAGAGCAAGACCCTACACTGTTCAATTTTATGAAGGCTGAGAGAGACGAGGAAGCTGCAGAAGAAAAGTTTGAAGCTTGTCAAGGTTGGTTCATGAAGTTTGAGGAAAGAAGCTGTCTCCATAAAATGAAAGTGCAAGGTGCAGGAGCAAGTGCTCATGGAGAAGCTGCAGCTTATCCAGAAGATCTAACTAAGATCTCCGATGGAGGTGGCTGCACTAAACAACAGATATTCAGCGTAGTAAAAACAGCCTTCTATTGGAAGAAGGTACTATCTAGCACTTTCATAACTAGAGAGGAAAAGTTAATGCTTGGTTTCAAAGCTTCAAAGGAACAGACTGAGTCTCTTGTTAGGGCTAATGCAGCTGGTGACTTTAAGTTGAAGCCAGTGCTCATTTACCATTCCCCAAATTCTAGGACCCTTAAACATTATGCTGAATCTACTCTACCTGTGCTCTGTAAATGGAACAACAAAACGTCTGTTTAGAGCATGGTTTACTGAAGATTTGAAGCCCACTATTGAGACCTACTACTCAGAATAAGAGATTTATTTCAGAGTATTACTGCTCATTGACAATGCACCTCATCACCCAAGAGCTCTGAAGGAGGCGTAATGTTGTTTTTCATGCCTGCTAACAAAATATCCATATTCTGCAACCCACAGATCAAGGAGTAATTTCAACTTTCAAGTCTTACTATTTAAGAACTTTCATAAGGCTATGGCTGCCATAGGTAGTGATTTCTCTGATGGATCTAGCAAAGAACATTGAAAACCTTCTGGAAAGGATTCACCGTTCTAGATGCCATTAGAAACATTCATGATTCATGGGAACAGATCAAGATATCAACATTCACAGGAGTTTGGATTAAGTAGAGTCCCACCCTCATGGATGACTTTAAAAGATTCAAGACTTCAATGAAGGAAGTCACTGCACATGTAGCAGAAAGAGCAAGAGAATTAGAAGTGGAGACTGAAGATGTAGCTGAATTACTGCAATATCATGATAAAATTTGACTGGATGACGAGTTGCTTCTTATGGATAAGCAAAGAAAGTGGGTTTCTTGAGAAGGAATCTGTTCTCAGTGACGATGTTATGAACATTGTTGAAATGACAACAAAGGATTTAGAATATTCCATAAATTTAATTAGTAAAGCAGTGACAGGGTTTGAAGAGTATTACTCCAATTTCAAAAGAAGTTCTGCTGTGGGCAAAATGCTGTCAGATACCATCACATGCTACAGGAAATCTTTCATGAAAGGAAGAGTCAATCAATGTAGCAATTTCATTATCTTATTTTAAGAAATTGCCACAGCCACCCCAGCCTTTAGCAACCACCACCCTGATCAATCAGCAGCCAACAACATCAAGGGAAAACCCTGTACCATCAAAAAAAGACTACAACTCACTGAAGGCTCAGATAATCATTAGCATCTTTTAGCAATAGAATTTTTTTATTAATATATGTATGTTAAGAAATAATGCTATTGCGTATTTAATAGACTATAGTAAACATAAGTTTTAGGCATACTACTTTCCCAGTGCATACAAAAATTTGTGTGATTTGCTTTATTGCAATATTTGCAATATCTAAAAAACCTATTGCAGATATGTCTGGAACCAAGCGTATAATGTCTCTGAGGTGTGCCTCTATATGATGGGCAACAGTGCATGTGAAACATCAGAACTCGAGTCATAGCCCAATTACAGACGACTTTCATAGCGATCAAGTGTCTCAGATGTACAAAGCACAGTGTGCATTCAAAAACGCAGCAGCCTTTCCCTCTCCTGCCCCAGCATGCTATAATGACCTCCTGGGGGTGGCAGTACTACAGTCAGAAGCGCTGACCACGTGCTGGTTCCCACAGGTCTTGGAGGAGCTGCCTCAGTGTTGGGTTTTGATGGCTGCCCCTGGCTGTAGAGCTCTCAGCAATGGGAACTCTGCCCTCCAAGAGTTCACCAGGATCTCAGACTCTAGTGTAGCTTACCAGGATCCTAAGCTGGGCTGACACATCTTTTTTATTTGCAGTACATTGTAAATTATTTCTGCTTTGCAAATGTGTCACCATATTCTATACTTTTCTTATGACTGAGAATTATTTTGTTAAAAGATAAAATTTTTAAAATATAAAATATTTTTTAAAATTATTTCTTAAGTAAAGTAGGACTGTTTTTTCTTTTTTGAGAAAAGACATGTTTTCTTGTTAAAATGCCAGGCTGTAAATAATGTTCCAAGACTTGGCCTGGTTGAAAGATTCCCTACCGTAATAATCAAAATTCAGCTGATACCTTTTGCAGCTCTAAGATTTAGCATCATTAGTGGTAAACTCTCTTTATCAGATGTCTCACAGCTAGACTAAAAATCAGTCACAGTAACAGCAGCCCACAGTTCCTTGTCTTATTCTAACTAAATTGTCCCTAACAGCTTAAAAATGAGCTACAAAATTCTAAAGTGATTCATGCTCTCTTCTGCCCCCATCACGGGGGGACTTTTTCAATTCTGCAATCCGGTTGCAACCCCATACTGAACTCTTGATCCTTCACTGCAGAAATTTGTTAGCTCTAGCTAGATTAGATTTTTCACAGCTAATCTAACTGCTGTAGGGGTTTGCAGAGTGGGGACAGAGCTGTGCTATTGGATTTGTCCAATTCATTTGACTCCAGGACTATAATTGCACTTATGTCTTACAAGGCTTTTATAGCCTCAGGCTGGCCAGCCACATAAAAAACAAATTGGCAGTGATACAGTACGAGTGAAAAGGGATGAAAGGCCCACATTATCAGTCTCCAGGCAGCGCTGTTCTGGCAGGAAGTTTCTTGGTTAATTTACAAATAAAACTTAGATTTTAGGATGGGCACACTGTCAGCTGAACAATGGGGATGTCAGGCCTGACTGTTACTTAGTAAAAGTAGCAGCCGGGCCCACTGAGGAGCAGGAATTCTTCAATCAAACAGACGACTCCTTCTGGAGCCAGCTGGCGATGTAATGCAATTAGTCGAGAAAGGAGGTCAGCCTATTAGGTGTGTACCATGACCAGTGTCACCAGTGGCGTGCAGCCTGGCAGCAGCAACAGACAGAATGGCTTAGGCAAAGGGACTTTAAAACTCTGTTAGGATGAAAAGTTGTGGAGCCGGGATTGATTTCTTAAGACTTAAAATCTGAGCATTTGTTCTGAGCCTGATGAGTCTCCAGGCATTCTGGAGCTTGTTGTGCAGTTGAAGGAGTAGCTAACATAAACACCGGCTCCATTCCAGGAGACTCATCATTCTTCTCCAGTTACATAGGAACCAGATCAACTTGACTTGTATGCACTCACTGAACTCACTGGTGGGTTTCTAATTTGAGGGCCTCTAATCACAGTTCTTTAATATTCACAAAATTAGGTCTCTATGATGGATTCTTCTTTAAATTGGGCAACACTTTGAGGTGTCCGGAGTATTCTGTATGTTCTGATGTGGTTGACAGTTTGCCCAGATGAATTTTATTTATTTTACCTACCTGTTTTCTTATAGGCAACAGAAGCCATATTTTTGCCCTTTACTCCAGATTTATCAGCCAGTTGTTCCCATGGCCTTAGCTTTTAGTTTTGTGATTTAGCTAATTAAACTGTGACGTATCCAGAAGTCTGAGTCACATGTCACTGAAAGCAGCTTTGAGATGATGAATATATAATATCATTACCACACAAAAATAGCTTTTCCTTAGTGACAGAATTGCCACACTGGGAGGATGGGTCTATTAGTGTGAAACTACCCTCCCTTGCAGTAGTTCTGAGAATACAGATGCAAGTAAAATTAAGAGATACTTAGGTTATGTAATTGAGTAACCCAATTTAAAATGGAAAAGTAACTACAAAATGTCAATAATCACGGTATTACCTCACAGTTAATGTTTTGCAGCTAATACTTGTGGATCAAAAGGAGCTGTCACAGATACTAGAGCACCCACCTTGGGTGGTGGCAGCACGTTTGAGGGGTGTTTAGTAGGTGTTTCCATTCAGACATTTGTGCAAGCATTATACCAAGGGACCCAGAGCCACTCTGAAGCTGGCTGTCTTTGCAGGGTGAGGGCCGTAAGTGTGAACTCTGGGATAGCCCCAGTTCTCACAATTGCCTTCTGCAGGTCTTAATTCCCCTTACAGTTCCAGTTAGATACTATTCATATTTCCCTGAGAACATACCTATATTAGGTTCTTGATGATGCTGGCTACCATGTTTTTACTTCAAAAGGACTGAATTTTAGGAATGTATTGTAATGTCTTTGCATGTTTTATTAAAAAGAAAAAGAAAAGCTGTAGCAAATATAGGAATAGAGAAATAGAAAGAGCTGTTCAGCACTACTAGGAGGCCCGGTGTTGTATTTTGTTTAAAACTATGTAAGGGGTTGGCTACACCTTTTGCCTGCTATTCTCTTACCTTTATATGGGAAGGGGGAAGGAAAAAAATGATGTACTGGGTAATTTTGCCATTAGAAAGTCATAGATACCATTAAATTGTTCTGGACCATCATGACTTGTGCTCAGCACCCGCAGTTGCATTTGTCTCAGAGCCCACATTCAAACACAGTTGAATCGTGCACTCCTCAGTATAGGTACAATGGTATAGGCACAGGTCACTTTTTAAATAATTGGCCGTACAGTCATTCCCAGAACTATGAGAGTGAAGAATAAACAGGCATTGGAGCAAATGAGCTTCCTTTTGTAGCCTTATAAATAGAAAAGAGGCTATGTTGGGGTCACCTGAGATTTTCTTTTTGTGGTCCAATAGTCTAAAGAAAATTGTATTTATGCTAACACGTTTTAAATACATAGTATTCCAGAACATCTTTTTAAAAAATACTTTAAGATAAAACTAAAAATGTTAGATTTGACACATCTCTATTTTATTAAACTGCTTCTGAATTTAGTCATTTTTAATGTTCATCTGTTAGATAAGGAAGCAAGAAATACTTGTTCGTGGTGCTGGAGAGCATCCTTCTGCAGTTCCATGTGAGGAAACGAGAATCCCAAATTCCCAGAAGATGTCAGAGGACCTTACCAGCCTTTGTGGTTTCAGAACTTCAATTTTGGCCAACATTTTAATCTTTATAATCTAGTTTATTTTAGTCACACTTTGATTCTTTGTCACTTAAATGATTTCGTGTGCAGCTTTCTCTAGCTTGAGATGGTACAGTCATCGTGCAGGAGATTGATCAAGGGTGTTCTTACACCTGACAAAGCCTGGGCCTGAAAGAACTCTCAAGAGGTCTTGTTTTGGAGATCTTTCTAGTAAGGCCTCCTTAAAGAGGCCAGGAGTCTGTGATTTGCTTTTGTTCTTTGCAGACTCTTTGTGTATAAGATGATAAAACAAGTGGGCTACACTGCTAAGCAATGACAGTAAAGTAACTTTGGGTGCAGGCTTAGGTAGCTTTGAAACAGTGAAAATGACCCTGAATTGGAAGCCCCAGTGCATGTCCCGGGCCCGCTCTGTCACTGCTGCTCATGCACCCTCGGGTAGGTGGTGCCTGCACCTTCCTGAGCGCCCATTTCTTTTTTGTACGATAAGATGAAGATGATGTCATCTACCTCAGAGAGTTAATGGGAAGATTAAATGAGACAATATGTGTGAACATGCCTTCTATACAGTAAGCACTCTTTAAATGCTAGGTAGGAGTATTCTTATCAGACTTAAGCAATAGTTATTCATTTCCTAAGCAAAAGTAATTTTATACATCTTTTTCTTAAAGGTTTGTCACAAATCTAGTTTCTTATACATTTGATAACAATTGTGTTGTAATGGCTTATGTTCTCTTATGTTCATATTCTTATGTTCATAGTAACCATTGAATTGAGAGTCTCATAAAGCACAACTGCAATGTGGAATAAAAGACGCATGCTGTTAATTGTTTAGAAACATATTCAGCAATACAAAGCATAGGACTGATGCAGGAGTAAAATTCCATTGGAAAATAAATTCTTACAAAGACCTCAGCCCCATCCAGCTGTAGTGTGCCTGCGAAGCTTGCATGCCTTATCTTAGTACCAACGCACTAAGAAGATAGGCTGTGTTTTTATGCACTTATGCTTTTTAAAATCCTCACAGAAGAACATCAGTGGTGTAGTCTTTTTTGATAGTGAACTTTTTTTAGCCTTTGAGTTTTATAATTCAATTTGTAAGCCATGACCCCTCATAAACTGCTGTTATCACCCTGATTAATAAAGAGCCAATTTGCTTTTGCAGCTTCGTCACTTGGGGAATGACGAGGTCCATATTGTCTGGTCTGAACACTCCAGAGACTACCGCAGGGGTATTATCCCAACCGCCTTTGGAGATGTTTCAATCATTATTTACCCAATGAAGAATCACATGTTCTTCATCGCGATAACGAAGAAACCTGAGGTACGTCGTTTTTATTGCATTGTTGTACTGACTCATAAAGCATTTGCCGTGTGATTCACTGTCATTGAAAATCAATGATACAAATATGTTAAAAGGGACTCTCATCCTGTTGTTGAATGTCTTACATGTATCTGAATTATACATGCTTTATAGGAATTAAATATGAATTGGGATTTTCAAAGAATTTTTCATCATGAGCACAAAATTTTGTTATTGTATTACTATACCTCTTTGGAAATTATAATGTCAAATTTATTATTTTGTAAATGTTTTAAGTTTTCTAAATTTTGTACTTTTGAAAAATTGTAACTTGAAATTTTGGGTATGTTGATTAATAATAAGAGTTGAAGGAACCCCATATCACATCTAGCATTTTGTGGAGAACCATGGGTATGGAATCCAAGCTTGCCTGGTGTACAGGCACTTGCCAAACCTCTGACTGTGCTAATGGGGTCAATCCTGCAGGATTGCAGTCATGTCCACGAAGAGGCTGGGCCTCTGGAGCACGGCCCATGTGATGAGTTTCAACAATTGGAGCACCTTGCTGCAGAATCAGTTCAGCCATGTCAATTGGTATTGATCATGGGAAGAGCTGGAACAATCCAATGATCTGTGTGCTGTGTACTAAATTGGCTGCAGTTTCGATCCTTGTCATACCTTTAGTGGTATTTTAGCCATGCTTTATATAGCAACTTGTTTTTGTTTTAGAATTACTAATAGAAGGGTGTTTTTAAAGTTCTTAAACATTAGCATATTAAGCCATCTCTCAAGAGGAATGACTTTGTGTTTTTCAGCTTGATAGTAAGTATAATCTTCATTTTCATTTCAAGTTGTTATCCTGAAGGAGCTGAAAGTTACGCTTCTGAAAACTCTCTTTTAAAGCTTTGAAATAATAGACAACAGATTTATTGTTCATATTAGGATTTATGACCTAATCTAAAGGGTTAAAGTTGTGAGGATTAAATGAACTAATAAATAGAAAATGCTTCAAACAGTGCATGGTCCAGAGTAAAAGCTACTTAAGTGTTAGCTATTATTCTTCTTCTTATTATTGTTGTTGTTGTGTTGTTTGTTATTACTACTATGGAGAGAGAATACTTAATGAATTCCAGGTTTAACATGCTTATTATTCTCAGAGTAGATGCAGTGTGGGTCAACTCCTGAATTCATAAAAGTCCCATTCTGGCTGTTGCAAAGCCTGACATAAAGGGAACCCTCTTTTCTATTCAGGGAACGCAGATGCCAAAAGTCACTTCATATTAAATATTTGCATCATTTTTTATTCTGATGTCCATGTGCGTAAAGTTTTCGGTTTTGTGTATGAAAATGTCTCTTAGTGCTAACATTTGTATTTGTCCATGAAGAACACTAGTTTAAAGAATTAAACTGAAAATTTTAATATAAGGGAACCAGTGAATTTAGTGTCTTGTAGCTTGCAAAAAGAGGAAACGTGTTTCTTTAATATTTAGTATGGATTAATTGGCTTTATTAGCTCATTTTCAACATGGGCCTCTAAAATGTCATTTAATGTCACCTTTATTTTTAAATAAAAAACATACAAGGCATTTTAATTCACTTTATAGAATCAAAAGTGATTTTTTAAAAAGGTAGTACATTGATAATGCATGAATATAATTATTAACATACCTTGTAAACTTTCTTATAAAATGTTTGCACATTTTATGAATTTGGCTATAAATTCTAACAAGATGAATTGAGCAAATCGCTTTCTTAATATTTTAATTCAAAAAGCCTAAAGGGAAGAAGAGAATAATGGCCAACTGGAAATTTAGTATTATCCTTACATTTAAAGTACAAACCATTACAATGTAATAAAATTAATCCAGACATTTCCAGGGCAAGTGTGGCTGACCTTTTGTTCACCAACCACTGACCCCAGGGTGAATGCAAGAGGCTTGCGGAGGGAAAGTCTGTTTGTTTGGCTTCAGTCCCTGGTATTTAAATTGCATTCCCTAATCAAATGAAAAGGCTGTCCTCTCTATCAGGTTACAGAATCCATGGCAACATTTGGCCTTTTATATCCATAATGTTAGCCTTTTTGTTTGCATCTAAGTAGAGACACCTGGAGCAATGTTAACATTAACCGATTTAGCATTAATAGCTTCATTATATAAGAATTTCTGATCAGATAGCTGTTACTTTTGTTATATTGCTTCAGCTTGTATTGTTGTCATTTTTTATCTCCCTGCTTGGCAACCAGGCAATGATTTGCAAATTTTTTTTGTCTTGATTAATTAAGCAATATAATTATCAGTAACCGTGATGCAGTCTTTGCTCAACAAAGCTTCTGAGAGAAAACAATGGTAAGTCTGTTAGTATGAATGCATTCCACGCGTCCCAGATGCATGAGGATATTATGGACAATGAGGGGAAAGGCCGCCTGTGAGCGAGGACAAAGGGTGCCACGCAGACTCGACACACTGCACATACCGCCAGGGACATGCTGCGGGCTCCCTGGGACACAGACGCCTCGTTAGATTACAGCTAGTCAGCAGAGATTAATTCTCAGCCATTTGGTGCAATAATTTACCCATTCCCCAGCCTTTTAACTAGTGTTCCTTACTGTGGAAGGGAAGGCTTTGTACTCAAAAGGTTTATTTAACCTTGCCTACTTTTAGGGATCTCCACCAAAATCATTAATTTTTTCTTAGAAATTGTAATGACGCAGCTGCTTGAAGTTAAGGAATATTCCTTTTGAAGGACAGGATATGCATAAGTTTCCAAAATTGTAGGTAGAGTCAAAGGCATTCTTCTAGCACCTGTATATTTCATCTGAGTATAGTATGACTCTGTGGTCTAAGTACATTTATTTTACTGTTCTCTGGGCAGCCATGCTTCTCTAAGAATAATTTTAATCCTTTTTTGGGAGAGAAAAAAAAAAAAAAAACCTCATCAGTACACAAAAGTCTTGCTCATTGGATAGAGTCATGCATATTCAAAGTGTACTTTCATTCACTCGGCCTCATTAATAGCGTATGTAATAATGTAGGGCTATTTGTAATACAAGCTTACAGGCAGCATTGCTTCCAAGTCCTTTGAAATTTAACATATTTCGCTTTTTCATTCCATACACCTCCCTTAAATATACAAATTATGTGCCTGGCAGAATCCGCCTCCTCTTAATAATACACAGCATTTGTGAAATGGTATGTTGAAGAAGTGTGGGTGTGCTTGTGTGAACGCATAAAACCCTCTCATCTGAGAGGGCCTGTTCACTTCTTGAGCTTTGGATTGAACTTCTTTTTTTCATTAAAAAAAAAAAAAAAAATCAGTGTGCTTAGCAGCATCATTCCATTGTTGAATTACTTTCAAAATAAGTCCATCTCCATAAACATTGACACAATCGTTCTTTGGTCATAGAAAAGAAATGTGTTATTGTTAGACTTATGTTTTTTCCAGCTTTTATTACTAAGTCAGCAGTCAAGGAAAGACTTGCATATAGAGTAGAAAGTGAGTGATTCAAGGGGTTTGTTAAAATGCCCGAGTTGTTCTTCAGAAAAGTGATTCATAGAGCCTCCACACTGCAGTGAGTACCCACGCTGCTTTCCCTCCCTTTCAGTATCTGGAAAGTAACACTGGTGTTCAAAATGTTTGCCTTTAGAAATTTGCGAAGGTAAGTTTTAGTGGTTTGGGCGTGTTTGTTTCCAGGCATAGTAGTGACTGACTGGTGACCAGTTGACCAGAGGGTAGATGTTGAGAAGCAGCCTTGAGCAGGAGCAGTTGAGACAAGAGGAAGTTTTGGTGAAGTGTCCTCCTCTTCACCTCAACCAGAGTGTCCCTTTTGTAAATGGAAAACATGCTAAAGTCCTCTGAATTCTGCTTACTCAGCCCTGGTACACATGGGCATGGAGAAAAAAATGATAGTGATTCAGTGATTTCTGAAAAGCACAGGACGGAAAGTGGTAAGACAGGAGATGGGACCCCAGAGTTATGGTTCTAAGCCTACCGCAAGATGGTAGGTGTCTTGGGCAGATCTTTCCATTTCTTTGAACCTTAGCTTCCTCAGCTGTGAAGTGCTGGTTGAGAATCAAGGCTTCTCTGTAGTCCTTAAAGGGATTCTAAATACCTTTTTTTTTTTTTTGGATCCTTTTGTTCCTAGCTGCCCGTACCTTTCCTTAAGTAATCCTGACTATCCCCAGAGCTTCATGGAAGTAGTCGCTGGCTCTCTTAAAGGTTCAGCAGCTGTTGTGAGTGAGTGAGAGTGTGTGGGTGTGGGTGTGGGGGTGTGTGTGTGTGTGTTCGTTCGTGTGTTCGTGTGTGTTCATGCATCCCTCTTCAGGGTGACATCTAGCCCAGGACCTGTACCTGGAGCAGGTGCCCAGAAATGCTGGGAAAAGGCTGATGTGCCAGAATTTACAAGAGCATTTGCACATGGGAGGCTGAGAGGAGCCTAGGATTGGCACTGAGTTTGAAAGGAAGTCTTTTAAGCTTACTAGTGTGACCTCATGGTATAGGGAGAGTGTTTGACTTTGCAACATGGTTATGTAAATTTCTTTCTTTTCATTTTATATGTGCAGGTTTTCTTAAATATTTATCCCAATCACAGCCAACTAACCTGTTTAAGATTAAATCATGCCCTTTAAAATGCTCTGGGAACTTCTCAGGGAAAATAAATTGTTAACCTTTGAATACACAAAGAATTATTTATTTAGAAAAGATCATTGAAAATACCAAACAACCAGAATGTACTAAAATAGGTTATTAAATGGATTACTATGTTATGTTCTGTTTGGATAATTTATTGTTATTGTTATTAGCATTATTTTTAGTAAAGGAATGACATTGAGAACTATGTGAAAAGGCATCTGTCATTTGCAGATGTTAAATTAAAATCAAATTTCTTCTCTAATTCATTGCCACTTCTAATTAGAGGAATTCCCTAGATACAAGGGATTTGTATTATTCCTTTTGTCCAGTTTTTGAAAGACTGAGTCACCCACGAACAGTTGCTGAAGAATACTAAAGAACGTTTATTTATA